TCTCTCTCTCTCTCTCTCTCTCTCTCTCTCTCTCTCTCTCTCTCTCTCTCTCTCCCCCTCTTTATACTTGAACTGGGTGGGACCTAATGTGTCTGGTAAATTTCAGGAATCTCCTGAAGCCTTTGAATTGTTTAAGGAGGTCCTCTGCAGTATGTAATGTTTTACCTCTCTTTGAACATCCTGCATCTTAAGGAACTTCCCTCAAGATGGATGCTCATCTGGCAGGATATTGCCATACAACACCACCTCTCCAGGTTCCATAATTTTCTATTAGTACTAAATTAAATCAGTAACAAACTTGGAGTGTTTAAAGCAATAGATGCTTATTCTCACAGTTCTAGAAGACACTAGTCCAAAATGTGTTTCACTGGACCAAAGCCAAAGAGTTTGATGCATTGAGTTCCCTCCAGAGGCATGCTGGGGTAGTTTGCAGAAGCCTGAATAGAATAAGACAGTAAGTTCTCAGTAAACAGTAGCTTATAGGATAAATTAATTCTTGAGTTACACACACAATGAAAAAAGTCAAGGTTTTTAGAGCTGGATCAAACTCCTTACCATACTGATCAAACTCCTTACACCACATTTTTCATAACACCTCACTGTAAACTCAGTACAGTGCACATTTAGACTGTTTAGATTCTGGGAGGCTGAAGGAGAAAAATTATGAATTCATTGAGCTACATAATAAAACCTAGGGATGAAAAAGACATCGGGACGGGTATGGCCCTCATGCCTCACTGGACAACGACAGGGGGACCAGAGCCATTTCAAGGTCCCCTTCAATTACTGGAGGTCAGGCCTCTATCCCCAACTTCACAAGATTATAATAACCATAGCCCTTCTATACTTAGAGAAGGGAGGAGATGTCAGGGGCAGCCCTGCTTACACACTGAAGGCCTAAAAATCAGCCATAGGCCTAAAATCAGTAATAGGCCTGTCATACATGTATACTAACACCAAGTCTTGGGTCTCTGTGGATAAACACTGAAACAGATGGCTATAAGCTATTGTAAACAGGCAGCTTTTGTGGAAATTTACCAGCCCGAGTAGTCATAGACCTTGTAAATAGGTAGCCTTGGCAGACAATACCAACTTAGATAAGGATAAGTGAGTCATAGGCAGAGTCATAGTGACCTGTCCCCTGAAACTTCACCCAGCCAACACCCTCTTCTGAAAGATATCTGTATTCCCCCTGAACACCCACGCTTCAGTGTCATCCCCTTCCCCACATCCTGCCTTCTTGTGTTTATAACCCCTGTGTGAATGAGTATAAATTATGATTTGAAAAAAAAAATATTAAAAAAAAGAAAAATGAGTTTGTATGTATACAAAAAATAAATAAAACCTAGGGATATATTTCAGTAGTAGAGTGCTTTTACGACTTGCAGGATACCTCCAGTTTAGTCCCCAGTACTAGAAAAACAAGTTGAATATCTTACATCTGTAATATTAATAAACATCAAGAATAATAGAACAGAGTAGGTGAAGTCTTAAAAGTGGAGGTTTTTCTAGATTGTTAACTGTTGCCAATTAAGGCAGTTTAACAGCAATACTTTTAAATTCTTTTTAAATTTGGTATTTTCCACACATGATGCTTCTTTTCCGAGAATGTCAGTTTGTTTGATTTAATGCCTGGACTACAGAGCTCAAAGTCCACTGGGTGAGGCTGGACACAGACAGACACCTAGGATGAAGGGGAGTGAACGCAAGCCACACAATCTTGCACAAGGCAGTAGGAAAGAGCAAACAAGGACTCTTGCCAACACTGAAGTGTCAGAGGCAGGCTTCTCAGAGGAGGTGGGGCTGTGTCTGGTTTCATAGGCTGCATGAATAAATTTACCATGGGGGAAGGACCATCCATGTTACCTCATGATTGAGGATTACAGCAACACCATCAAGGGAATTTGGTAAGCTGACTCAAAACATCATAGTTCCTTTCAAGAAATCAATTGCTTTTTCCCAGTAGTAGAAATAGAATTTCCAGAATAAAAATAGAAAAACATTGTAATGTTTCCTGCAACAAAAACAATAAAATTTTCAAGACTTTATTGAACAAGAGTATGATTCAAAAGGGGAAAAAAACAACAGCAAATCTTTAAAGGACATAAGGCAAGCTCTGTCTAAATAGAACTGTGGTGGTTTAAATAATCAATGTCCACTGTGTGATCAGAGATTTGAATGTTTGGTCTCCAGTTTGGCGGTGCTGTTTGAAGAGGCTTAGGAAGTGTGGCCTTATTGGAGGAAGTGTGTCACGGGGGCCAGGTTTGACTGTCAAAGCCTTGTGTCATTCTCAGTGATCTCTCTGTTTTGTGCTTGAGTTTGAGGTGTGGGCTCTCAGCTCTTAGCATCAAACTTTATCTAGGCATATCTTCTACCTGCTGCCATGCTGTTCCAATCACTATAGATTCTAAGCCTCAGGGACTGTAAGAACAAATAAACTATTTCTTCTATATTTGCACTGGTCGTGTATTTTATCACAGCATAGAAAAGTAGCTAAGACAGGAATCAAATACTGTATTCTTAGATGGAAAAACTTAATATTACAAAATATTAACCCTTCCTAGATGAATAAAGCACTGAATAGACAATTCAGTGGCTACAGGAGTAAAAGAAAGAAAAACATAAGTACATGATAGAGATAGGATAGCCTAATGTCCCCACAGGAGATAGAGTGGGTGGCACATGTATGAGAGACACTGTGAGGGTCTCACTGCAACCAAGGAGGGATGAGCCACATCTGTCATGTGGATGAGATGCTTTTACATACATAAAGATAGTGTGGTGGTTTTTGTTTTGTTTAAGTCTTGTTTTCTATGTAGCTCAACTTGTTTTCAAAGTGGTGATCCTTTTGCCTCAGCATCTGTAGTGCTAGAACTACAAACATGTGCTCCTATACCTAACTAATACAATGCAGTTCTAATAAGTAAAGAGAATAGAATGTGCATGTAAAGGGTCTAATTTTTTTCTCCCCAAACACTGTGTGTATATGTATTTGTACATGATTATATAAGGCAGATTAACTGGTCACTTTTGTAACTAGTAATGTTTTTCTTCAGTTAGAAGACTAAGCAATAAAGGCAAGTATAGGGGCTGGTAAGACAGCTCAGTAGATAAATGCGCTGTCTTAGGGCAGTGGAGGCACAACTGGAAGAATACACACAGGATAGAAGCAGGGACAAATGGGAACATGAATTGAAGGTCAGAGGGCTCTGTGCACCACTGATAGGTGGGTCTACAAGCAGAGGAGAGAAATAGCTGAAAAGATAACAGTCAAATATTATGTGGAACCAAGCACACTTCTTAAATCACGAGTGAATCCCATGTCCTGGGTGGGAGACACAGATGACTCTGGCTTCTCTTCTGCTCTATTTCACTTTGTTGTGCTGTTCCTTCATTGATCTTTCCCTTGTCTGGACAAACAGCTTTTTCACTGGGTTATTTCTCTCTGACAGCTTTTAACTGTCTCTCATTACCATGGCATTCAAGTCAGAGAGCTGCCTTTTCCTTAGGGGACCTCACGTTGGGTTGTCTTTCTCTGGATCTTGACATTTGGAAACTAAGATGTTTAAGGACAGTGCTGGAGACATGAGCCTAGGGAAAGCTGAATGAGATTGTGCCTAGATGATCAGATACAGTCACTTGTGGCTTTTCCAGTGTGGAGCAGGCC